GAGCTTTGCTCTCCTTCCCTTCAGTGAAAAGATGTCAGTGAGCTCCCATGCTGGTGCTGATGCCTTCACCTGGTCTTCTTCTGGGTTAGGGATCCTCAGCCATGTTGGGTGGCTGTGCCAATGTGATGTAACTCCCACGCATGCGCCGTGTAGTGTACTTTTTCAGATAAACAGGCAGGTAAAATTTTTTTATAGCAATCGAAAAATAGTATGTCTGTTCTGCAATACAAAAAAAAACTGCCTGCTCACTCATTTTTATATGTTATGTAAAATTCCACTTTAACCCCTTAGTGACGGAGAGGAAAGCAAATATTAATGCCTGAACACAATTTTTCAACTTTGACATGGGTTAGTAAAGGGGGAGTCAGATCGAGAGAACGCAGAGCCTGATCCTCCCCCTCCCCTTCCTGTGTGTGTCCCTGTCCACGTCTTTCTGCCCCCTGCTCTGCTGATAGAATGATATGGTTGGTGAGGAGGGAGAGCCTGGGAGAGGAGACACAGACATGGTGAGCAGTGGCCGCACTCTGTGATAGACCTGGTTGGACCGTGGTCGCCGCTTACCTCCAACTGTGCGGCTTGGTCATTAACAGGCCCTGGATTTGGTGGCCCCGCCCCACCAGGCAAATGCCCAGTGTGCCCTACGGACAGTCCAGCCTCTTACCATCAGAGAACAATCCAAAATAAATTCTCCTGTTGCTGACACCCGCAGTGATACCACCTCTGTGTATGCTATTTGTTATTAGTATCTATACTGCGGCCCAGAAACAATAGCGGCCATTTTGGTATTTTTATCCTACCTAAAAACACACTGACACTGACACTGACACTGACGCTAACTGACACTGATAATAATTAAAAAACTGCTTTTTAAAATCCTCCAAAATATACTGACCCTGATCTTTGACCCTTACCTTGACCCTATCACTAACCATAACCCTTTGTTTATTTACATCTTTCTCTCCTGCAAGGAAAGACATATACAGTGTATCTTTCTCTCCATTAAGAGGAGAAAAAAAAACCAGGGGTAGACTGATCACTGTGATGGCCAATCAGACGCTATAACAGTGATCAGGTGACCACAACCAGGAGTTCCCCAGTCCCGATCGTTAGTGCCAGACTTGGGGTTCTCGGTAAGAGCCCAATCTCTGTGCTGGGAGTGCACTGTGCGGCGCACTTCCAGCACAAAGACGGGTCCGCATATATGCGGCCCCACGGATACCTTGCATGTATAGCTGTCTTTTTTTATGTTTTGGATGAAGATGATGAAGTGTAAAACTCCTGCCCTTTTTTTCTGTGTCCCCATTGGGTAGATTCACTCTCTTTATTTGTCCAAGTCACCATTGTCACTGAGTCAGGAAAGTCATAGGAAATCCAAAATTTTACAGTTGTCACCACTGCAGGAATAAAGCATAAATCTCCAACAACTGTTCTGTTCAACTGGCTAATTTACCTTCACACCTATGGAGTTTGCACTTCATTTTCCTGTTTTTGCACAGGATTTTTGAAGGGAAACATCTCCGATATTGCGTTTTTGATCCGATTAATTATTGGAGTTGACAGAGGAGAGATCTGAGGTCTCATAGACCCCAATCTCTTCATAAAAACCTGTCACAGCCCAAAAATGCTATCACAGGGATGTTTTTCTGCATCCCTTGTGATAGCAATAAATTCTAAAAACAAAACAAATAAAATGAAAAAGAATGTAACGTATCCCATAGGAAAAAATTAAATGGTCCTGTGCTCCTCTGCTCATGCGCAAAGGTGAATGCATGCTGCATTTACCCGCATGCATATGTAAATGGAAATCAAAACCACACATTTGAGGTATCACCGCGAACAAGTGTGGGAACAATAATTCCAGCACCAGATGCTTTGGTGTAACTCTAAGCTGGTACCTGTAAAGGCTCCATTGCCTATGGAGATTTTGAGGTACCACAGTTGGGTGAAGTTCAATAAATAATAATAAAAAAATTAAAGTTCCACGGGCATACACAATTTTAACGTGTGATATGTTTGGTATTTATGTACACGGCGTAACATCATTTTTTATATTTTACCAAATAATCGGGTTTATGTTGTGTTTTTGTGCATTACAATACATTAAAGTGTATTTTTTCCCCCAAAATATTTTTTGAAAATCCGCAGCGCAAATATGGCATGACATGAAAATATGCAACACCCACCATTTATTTTCTATTGTCTCTGCTTAAAAAAGTATATATAATGTTTGGGAGTTTTAAATAGTCTTCTAGCAAAAAAAATGCTGATTTTTACATGTAGAGGAGGAATGTGTGAATTGGCCCAGACTAGAACTGATTAAAGCGGAGTTCCACCCAAAAGTGGAAGCTCCACTAGTATGCCTCCGCCTCCCACCCTCCACTGCCATATTTGGCACCTTTTGGGGGGAGCGGGGAGCGGGTACCTGGTTTTGACAGGTACCCGCTCCCACTTCTGGCTCAGTTTTGCCGCGGCTGTCATAGCCTGGTGCCCACAGTTAAGATGCTGGCCCCATGGAGAGAAGAAGGAGAGAAAGGCCGGCGCGGGTGGGGACATCGCTGGACCCCGGGACAGGTGAGCGTGTGTTTTAGGTCAGCACACAAAAAAGGCTGGAACTCCACTTTAAGTGATATTCCAGCTGTATACCTCCGTCCCCCCCCAGACCCTCCACTGCCATATTTGGCACCTTTTGGGGGGGGGAGCGGGGAGCGGGTACCTGGATTTTTGGCTCAGTTTGCCGTGGCTGTCATAGCCTGTGCCCACAGTTAAGATGCCGGCACCATGGAGAGAAGAAGGAGAGAAAGGGCGGCGCGGATGGGGGACATCGCTGGACCCCGGGACAGGTGAGCGTGTGTTTAGGTCAGCACACAAAAAAGGCTGGAACTCCACTTTAAGTGATATTCCAGCTGTATGCCTCCGTCCCCCCCCACCCTCCACTGCCATATTTGGCACCTTTTGGGGGGGAGCGGGGAGCGGGTACCTGGTTTTGGCTCAGTTTGCCGTGGCTGTCATAGCCTGGTGCCCACAGTTAAGATGCCGGCACCATGGAGAGAAGAAGGAGAGAAAGGGCGGCGCGGATGGGGACATCGCTGGACCCCGGGACAGGTGAGCGTGTGTTTAGGTCAGCACACAAAAAAGGCTGGAACTCCACTTTAAGTGATATTCCAGCTGTATGCCTCCGTCCCCCCCCACCCTCCACTGCCATATTTGGCACCTTTTGGGGGGGAGCGGGAGCGGGTACCTGGTTTTGGCTCAGTTTGCCGTGGCTGTCATAGCCTGGTGCCCACAGTTAAGATGCCGGAACCATGGAGAGAAGAAGGAGAGAAAGGACGGTGCGGGTGAGGACATCGCCTGACCCCGGGACAGGTGAGCGTGTTTTTAGGTCAGCACACAAAAAGGGCTGGAACTCCACTTTAAGTGATATTCCAGCTGTATGTCTCAGGACTCCTCTGTCTTAGGCAGGCCAGACACAATGCAAATTCCGAACGATAAAACACATCGAAAGTGAAATCGTTCATTTTCCTATCATTAGTGTGGTAGCTGCGACACGCAATTTTCATACAGCATGTGAAAGTGTAAGATCCAAAACGTTGGAAACTGGACAAATTTTGTATCATTAATGGGGGAATTGTATTAATTGACATACAACTGCGCATGACTTATGACAATTTTGACCCGGAATGAAAACAAGAACAAAAAAAAAAAAAACGTGCAAAGAACGATTTTTCATATATTAGCAGGAAATGATATTGAGCTACTCATTTACAAAAAAGCAGAAATTACAGGAAAAAAATAAATTAAAAAAGCAGGCTGCAGCAAATCTGCTTGGTACATGAGGTGTCAATACGTCTGCAAGAAAATTGGCGCAAACACACGTCCTGTGCATGTTTAATGGACCTCATACCTCATATATCAATCAGAAATGGCAGAAAAAAACAGCAAGTCTGCTGAATACAGAGCACAGTGTCACACTATGGAAAAATAAATAAACAAATAAATAAATAAATAAATGATATATATATATATAATAAGACACTCAACACCACCTTATGCTGAACAAGCACATATTTATTGTGTCAAACAAAAAACATGATTTTTCTTTCTTTTTTTATTCTGTCATATATGATGGGGTAGACAATGTTTCTATATGAAAATATGAACATCTTCTTTAGAAAATACACTTTTCTTGTACATTTGTACAATAGCAGTGCAGTCTACTAAACTGTACATTCCTGCAATAACTGAGCATTTGTTCAATTGCAGCGCAGTATACACTACACCACACATGTGATTCAGGTGTTCCAATCCCCTCCATATCATGTGATTCAGGTGTTCCAATCCCCTCCATATCATGTGATTCAGGTGTTCCAATCCCCTCCATATCATGTGATTCAGGTGCTCCAATCCCCTCCATGGACACAGGTGTATACAATCAAGCCCCTAGGCATGCAGACTGCTTCTACAAACATTGGTGAAATAATGGGTCGCTCTCAGGAGCTCAGTGACTCCAAGCGTGGTCCCGTGATAGGTGGCCACCTGGGCAATAAGTCCATGCGTGACATTTCCTGGCTACTAAATATTCCACGCTCAACTGTTAGTGGGATTATAACAAAGTGGAAGCAACTGGGAACAACAGCCACTCAGCCACCAAGTGGTAGGCCATGTCACATGACAGGGCACAGAAGTCACCAACTGTCTGCAGAGTCAATAGCTAAAGACCTCCAAACTTGAGACCTTCAGATGAGCCCAACAACAGTGCGTAGAGAGCTTCATGGAATGGGTTTCCATGGCCGAGCAGCTGCATCCAAGCCTTCCGTCACCAAGTGCAATGCAAAGCGTTGGATGCCGTGGTGTAAAGCATGCCGCCACTGGACTCTAGAGCAGTGGAGACGTGTTCTCTGGAGTGACCAATCACATTTCTCTGTCTGGCAGTCTGATGGACGTGTCTGGGTTTGGTGGTTGCCAGGAGAAAGGTACTTACCTGACTGCATTGTGCCAAGTGTAAAGTTTGGTGGAGGGGGGATTATGGTGTGGGGTTGTTTTTCAGGGGTTGGGCTTGGCCCCCTAGTTCCAGTGAAGGGATGACATTTTGGACAATTTCATCTTCCCAACTTTGTGGGAAGAGTTTGGGGATGGCCCCTCCTGTTCCAACATGACTGCGCACCAGTGCACAAAGCAAGGTCCATAAAGACATGGAGGAGCCAGTTTGGGGTGGAGGAACTTGACTGTCCTGCACAGAGTCCTGACCTCAACCCCATAGAACACCTTTGGGATGAATTAGAGCGGAGACTGCGAGCCAGGCCTCCTCCCCCGACATCAGTGCCTGACCTGACAAATGTGCTTCTGGAAGAATGGTCCAACCTTCCCATAGACACCCTCCTAAACCTTGTGGACGGCCTTCCCAGAAGAGTTGAAGCTGTTATAGCTGCAATTGGTCTTTTGTACGATGAACCCAATGGTATTTTCTTAGCACAGCCCCGTATGACCTTCTCTAAAACAGCATCTTACCTGATGTTCAAATATTTTTATAGACTTACTCCCGACAATCATAATCTTTCTTCTGGAGAATAGCAACCATGTCGACCATCTCCTCAAAAGTCATGTTGATGGCTTTCTTCCCTCTTCTTCTGGTCACTCTTCTTGTCTCCAGACTTTCCTCAACCTCCACAAGCTCCTCCACCTCTTCTGTCTCCGGTCTTCAGCAGGAGAACTTGCCATGTGCTCTTTGGTGGCCATAATGTCTTCAAATGGGCACCGAGAGAGAGAAGAGGCGGAGCCTGTACATTATGTAACACATGGGGATACGATTACAGTATGATGCTTTGGAACTTCGGAATATTTGTTCGGAATACCAGTCCACACACATACCTGAAGTAAGTTTCTGGAGATGACTCTTCGGAGAATGTTTCACACCATACCATACAAGGTGCTCATTAACCCCCCCTCCCGGCGGTATTCCCGAGTGTAGCTCGGGGTTAACTTTCAGTACCAAAAGCGGTAACCCCGAGCTACACTCGGGAATACCCTGCACCGCTTCTCCAGCAATCCCTGCAGTACTCACCTTTTTCTGCGCTGCCGTGATGTCCCCCCTGCAGCATCCCCAGCCATGTCCTCCGGCCGATGCCGGCATCCGTCTTCCAGGTTCCGTTCCCTGCGAGCGTCGGGACATACGGGGGACGGAACGGCGGGAAATTCAAAAATGTAAAAATTTGACATTCACTAAATACAGTAAAATCACATAGTATTACATTCCTGTATCAAACCATTTCACATACATTTTGTCCCGAGTGCTTTGTCCGGCGCCCTGCCTGCATTTTTACTGTTCTTTCTGCCTGGAAACTGAGAAACGTCCATGGCGTCCAAAAAGCGTCCCTTTAGGTCAGACGCCGTTTTAGACCGGCTAGAGAACAGCGATAGTAAATCAGAACCACTTGCAGAATTGAGCGATAATGATTGGTGGGGGAAATTCCTCATCAGACACTGAAAACGATTCTGCGACTGAGCTCAGCGATGTGTGAACTTGGCGCTATATTTCACATTTCAGTGTTTTTGGTTTGATTATATTATTGAATTACATTTATTATTATATTATTATTATTTACGATTATTTAGTATATTATAATTTATGATTTCGTGTTTCACATTTTATCCTACCCGGGATGTTCACTAGACTCTTGTTCAGACAGATTTCAGTGAGTTATTCCTAAGAATTACAGCCTACAATAAAAAAAAACAACATATTTCCATTGAAAATAATGTACCGCTTTGAGCACAGAAATACTGACATAATCAGACCGCTAGGGAGGTTAAAGTGCAAAAAACATTTGTAGTTGCTAATATGTACTAATACATGCAGGGGCGGACTGACAACTCATGGGGCCCCCGGGCAATAGGGGATCATGGGGCCCCTGTGTCCTTGCCCAAACTAAAAAAAAGCCTATGAAAAAGGTACCAGGGGCATCTCATGGGGCCCCCTACTGACCCCGGGCCCTCGGACAGTGCCTGAGCTTCCACATGGTCAGTCCGCCCCTGAATACATGTGTTTGATTTATACAATTATATTTTACTTCTGTATAGCAACGTAGCCATGTGGTGATGCGATTCATGACCTCATGTATAGCTGACCATTTGTTACATTGTATGCATGTTTTACAATGTTTTTGATATTTTTCAAGTTTTTTTTTTTTTTTTTTTTTTTTTTTAAGCAATGCCTGATAAATTCATGTCTCCTGATTTCCTACCACAATTCATTGAAAAGTTCAGGGAATTATCCTGCTTACGTGATGTGAAGTCACAGGATCACTCCAATCGGTATAAGCATGCTGAAGCTTTAAAAGAATTATGTAGCGGTTTGTGTTGATCCCACCGAAGACTATGTTAGGCGTAAAATTGATAAACTGCTTACCGTTTTCAAGGAGGAGTACAAAAAAATACAAGGTTCTAGAACATCAGGTGCCGGAGCGGATGACGCGGATGTGCCACAAGGGTGGCATTTTGAGAGCCTGATGCTTCTAGCCGATGAATCCAGAGACTCCCAATGCACTCTTCAACCAAGTGGGGCTTCAGAGTCGAGTTCATCGTCCATGGAACACGGGGAAGAAAATGAAGATGAGACAGAGACACAGGTAAATTCATCAAATGAATACAATGCAATTGTTCTTTGTATGGAACCGTATGTTCAATCATGTCTGAACTATCAATAAATCGGAATACATTCATGTCAATTGATATTGAGGCTGAGCACTGTGTGTGTTCGGGGTGATGACACGTGGTGGTCCATGTTCATGAATGATCACTGAGAATGGAGTTTGGACATTTGGCAGTTTGGACTTTACACTTTATTGGATTAAGGCTGGCCATACACTGTACAATTTTCTGTTCAATTTCTGCCCAATGTCCTTTAGATTTACCTTCAACTATGTAGAGCAAGGGCCTGCTTAAGTGGATATAATTGGGTGCATAGTGGCTTAGTGGTTAGCACGTCTACCTTGCAGTAAATGGGTCATGGGTTCAATTCCTGACCATGGTGCCTCCTGCATGGAGTTTGTATGTTCTCCCTGTGCCTGTGTGGGTTTTCTCTGTGTACTCCAGTTTCCTCCCACACTCCAAAGATATGCTGGTAGGTAAATTGGCTCCTGTCTAAATTGTCCCTTGTATGTGTATGTATGAATGTAAGTTAGGGACCTTAGATTGTACACCCCTTGAGGGTTAGGGACTGATGTGAATGTACAATATATATGTAAAGTGCTGCATAAATTGACAGCTATATAAGTACCTGAAATAAATAAAATTTAATTGAAAGTGTTGTTCAGGTTTGACCTCCTATTATATGTTTTTTGGTAAATCTAAAGCAATTTTCTAAAGAAAATTGTATAATGTATGGCCAGCCTTATTGATGGATTTTAGTTGAACGTGAACTCTTCATTTGCACATTTGGATCGTATGCACTTGGGACGTTCATTTTAATTTACATTTATTTTTTGATGAACTGATACCTGATATGCACATTAGATGATTTACACTTTGTGACTTTGATTTGAAATATGTTTTTTTTTTTTACATGAATTGTTTTTGATACATGAGAACCGACTCTGCGTGTTTTATGGATTTATTTGCACTTTATATTGGGTTAGTATCAGGGGCGGACTGATAACTCATGGGGCCCCCGGGCAATAGGGGATCATGGGGCCCCTGTGTCCTTGCCTAAACTCAAAAAAGCCTATGAAAAAGGTACCAGGGGCATCTCATGGGGCCCCCTACTGACCCTGGGCCCTCGGGCAGTGCCCGAGTTTCAAATGGTCAGTCTGCCCCTGGTTAGTATATGATTCAGATTTATTGATAGTTCATATCTGATTGAACATTTGGTTCTATAGAAAGCGCAGTTGCAATGTATTGATTTTATATTTAGACTGTCAGTCTTTTTCAGCAACTGCAGCTCTTACGCCGGCCATACATGGTACAATTTTCTTGAGAATTTGGTTTCATTTTTACCAAAAACCATATAATAGGAGGTCAAACATAAACAACACTTTCAATTGTATCCAATTAGGCAGGCCTTGCACTACATAGTTGAAGATAATTCTAAAGGAAATTGGGCAGAAATTTGTAAGAAAATTGTACAGTGTATGGCCAGCCTTAATCTAAGGAATATCAGATCCAACTAGCGCAGATGCTTATTAATAATTACAGGTACATTCATGTTGTATTGTTTGCTATTCACTTTATTTAGACAAATGTCAACAGAACAGTGAACGATTTTTTAAATAATGTACTTTTTTGCATACCTATATTAACCGCTACAGGGTGGCAGGGCTGCGCAATTACACGTATATGTTTGTGATTTTGCATTTCTGGGTAGGAGGCACGAGTGCGCCCTGCCCACGCCGCCATTGGCATCTTCAGCTGTCGACTACCGGGTTCCAGCTGCAGATTCACCACCGGCACCCGGCGATCACCAAGTATCACTGACAGGGGAGAGGTCTGTATGTAAAGAATGCTCTCCCCTGTCAGCTCCAGCACGCTGCTTTGTATGGCTCTGCATAGCAGAGCCATACAAAGCAGCATGTTTACAGTGTAAAAAACACACACAGCACACAGTTAACCCAAATGTTAACCCCTTACTGCCCGATGTCATTAGTACAGTGTCAGTGCTTTTTATTAGCACTGATCACTGTATTAGTGTCACTAGGGATGTCAGTGGCAGTTAGTCATTTGCCCCCCGTGTCAGAATGCCCACTGCAGTCCAACAGTCCTGCTATAAGTCGCTGATTACCGCCATTACTAGTATTGAAAAAAAAATAGTGAATGCGGGGTCCGGGGAGAGCGGATATAGTGAATGCAGGGTCTGTGAGAGCGGATATAGTGAATGCGGGGTCCGGGGAGAGCGGATATAGTGAATGCAGGGTCCGGGGAGAGCGGATATAGTGAATGCAGGGTCCGGGGAGAGCGGATTTAGTGAATGCAGGGTCCGGGGAGAGCGGATATAGTGAATGCGGGGTCCGGGGAGAGCG